CAATATACAACTGTGCTGACTTACAAGTATGGCAATTTCACACTGTACAAACTTTATTATTTTTAATCCCTGAGTGACCCATCAACTGTAGTAAACTAGTGCCCCATCCTCCAGTCTCTGCCGAAGGGTGGGAACCCAAGTTCTGTCAGTACCTTACTTCAAGCTGTAAAAGCAGGGTCCCTGCATCCTGTATCCTTGTCCTGAAGATGCAAAGAAGTTTACTTTTCTTTTGAGTAAAGCCAACTAGCAAACACAGAGACGCTGCAATCTCCCCGTTAACTCTGGCTCTTAACAGCTCTGTTGTCTTCTGCCTCAGGACAAGTATGTTCTGATTTCTGGTTTTTCTTCCCTAGTTCAGCACCCTGAATAAAATCATCTTTGGCTGTTGTTGAACTTTGCAGTTTAATTTTGCTTTGCCCAGGGAAAAGCTAAATATGTGATACAGCTGCTCTATTTTCTTCCAAATCAAACTTTCTCCAAGAGACCTTGGATTCTCAAATGCCACTCTAATGCTTTCCAAGCAGTTCATCAACCTAAGCCCAGAAGATGTTTCAAGTATTTTTCAGATTCCCCATTTCTCTTAACAGGAGATGTTGGTTGGAAAGAGAAAGGTTAGAAGAAATAGGCTCTTTATTTACCCTTGAACAGTCTTTCTGTCTCTCTGCTTTCAGTGCCCGTGGCTGCCAGATATCTGCTTGGTCCAATGTGCAAGAGGGAACAGACCAAACAGTACCAACTGCATCATCTTTGAAATCAATAAATTCCTGATTGGCCTGGAATTGGTACAAGAGCGGCAGCTCCACCAGGAAACCAACATCTTGAAACTGGAGGATGACACAAACTGTTCTTGGTCCTCCATCGAGGAAGACTTCCTCACTGCCTCTGAGCACTTGGAGGAGGAGAGCGAGGTGGAAGAATGTAGGAACGGTGAGAATATCCCAATGAAAATGTGTGCATCCTGATGTTAGTCACTGTATAAAAATGTCCTAGATGGATTTCAAGAACGTTTCAGGCCATGTCAATTGGGGTGACAGCACTGCGATGTTCACTTGCTGATCTTTACAGAAGGGAGGAGGAAGGGCTATAGAGCACTGGTGAAGATGCTGACAGCTGCACTCCGAAGAGGAGACATGGATGGAGCAGACACCTTAGGGATGCTCCAAGAAACCTGAAATATTCCCTCCTGCCTTGAGATGGAGTCTGTCACTGGGAGGAAATTTAGCTTCCCTAATAGTACCATAAAAAACATGTATGAAGAGCCAGCCAAATAGCTCAGAGGATTAAAGCACCTGCAAGCAGGCGCAGGGGCCAGTAGTTAGATGCCAGGCCCTGCCATGCCAGCCCCATCCCCTGGACGGACTGAAATGAGATTGAGACTGGGTGTAGTGATGTGCGCCTGTAATCCCAGCACTTGGGAGGCTGTAAACAGGAAACTCACTATGAGTTCAATCTAGTAGTGAGACCCTGAACACCCTGTAGACCCTTCCCTAAAATACAGAAAAAAAAATATGTATGAGACACAAGGCCATCTTCTTAACCTTTTTGGGATCTGATGTTTCCTTATCTGTAATTTCAGCATACAGTAGCATCCATGGCAATTCCTGTGTGACAGTTGAGGGCATTAACCAGGAGAGAGGTTGGCACCAACCTCTTTCACCCATTAGTTCACTCCTTAGCGGAGCTCAGGAAGGGGGTTTCTCTTTCCAACTCTTATCTATGGAGATAAGGTCCCAGAGTATGTTTTTTCCTAAGGCAAGTTCTATGCAGACTTCCAAGTAAGTCTGTGCAGTAGAGCCCACTGTTCAAATTCTAAACCACCTTGCTCCTCCTCTCAACCCTCCAGAAAATTCTAAGATGCAGTAGTTTGTGTTGCTTCCCCAGTTGAATGGTCGGTGAGCAGGCTTCAGCTTCTGAGCACCTTCGGCTCCGGCATTCACACTTGTATCTGCACCGAAAGCTATTTTGTTGTGAGACACGTAATGAAATTTAAAACTCTTTTTCATACTCACTTTTCTTAAAGAAACATACTCAACAGTATATTTTGAGATGGAGGTATCTGGTACTTTAAGGCAATTTTTGGAAGTAATTATTATTTTATTAAGGTGAATAAAGGAAAAACAATAAAAATGATACAGAATTTCAAAACAAGATGATAGAAAATTAGCAATGATTGTCACATTGCACATTGTTATCTTCAAAGTCAGATTACCAGAAATAGGCAGGTAAAATTGATCAGGCAGTATAAGCACTAACTGTTCCTTTCAATAAACTAGTACAAGTTAGCTATCTTGTGTGTGTGTGTGTGTGTGTGTGTGTGTGTACATATTCATATATTCCTCTTCCTTCTTTTCTTCTTTCCTCCATCCCAGTTGTTCTTTCATTTTGAGCAATTTTATTCCCCCTTTCACAATATCTACTGCATCTTTTGGATTTATTTACTCTTGCATTTTCTTATACTCAGAGACAATAGGATGTTTAAACATGTGGGTCTGATTTCACTTATAATTATGCTTTCATGGCAACCTGCTATTCAAAAAATAATAGCAGATCTCATTTCTTCTTCACCAGGTTATGAAAATATAAATGTATCAGCCAATGTGTTTGAAAGTAAGAAGCCACGAGAGGCCACTCTGGAGGAATGGGACAACAAGAAGCAAAAGTTCCTTTGTGTTTTGGACAACAAATATGTTAGCAAATATCATACCACATTGATTAAAACAGAAGACTCTCTGGAAAACACAGCCTTCCAAAGGTCGGATTCATCACCCAAGCCCTTACAGGGAAGCAGTGAAGCTGTGGAAAATGAGCGACCAGCCACAAATTATTATAAAGAAAATTTTGGAGATCAAATAGAAAAGTCTCAAGCACCGGATGCTCCATCTGATGTCCTTTGCTGCAAGATGGTTGAGGAAGATGTACCTGTTGCAGGTGGTATCATTGAGCAGGGGAGTAACCTAGAGCCAGGAAACCATGAAGACCCAAGAAATTTTCTTCCTCCTGTCCAAGAAGGAGAAGCTACCACTGGAGAGTATGCTACCAATTTAGCAGAATCTGTGCTGCAAGATGCTTTCATCAGATTATCTCAGGCTCAACCTACACTGCCCCTGGAGCCTGCTGTCAGTGCCCCCGTAGGAAGTGGCTTTCCCAGTGGTTGTTCCACAAAGGACACAGTGGCCGCCAGGTCGTGGAATGAGCTCCCCAAAATCGTCATTGTGCAAAGCCCAGATGGCAGTGATGCTACCCCTGACCCTGATGTCTCCTCCTGGCCTGACACCAGTGTTTCTGTTGATGCCTCAAGTGTTCTCTCTGGAGAGAACCCCAGCAGACACCCTCAGAGTGCTCTAGAAGTAGCGTTAGCTTGTGCAGCCACTGTGATTGGAACGATTTCCAGTCCACAGGCCACAGAAAGACTCACAATGGAGCAGGAACCCTCAGTGTCAAGCTGTACCCAAGAAGGCAGTGGAGAACTACAAAGTCAGGCATCTCTCGGAGTCAAGGAACCTTCCATCAGTGACTACTCCTTTCCATCTGCTTTGTGTGGGATGACACAGGTGGCAAGTGCTGTCGCTGTCTGTGGCCTGGGTGAAAGAGAAGAGATGCCATGCCCTGTGGCCCCGAGTGACCTCTTGCCTGAGGCCCAGACATCTGAAGCCACCTCTCCACTTTGTAGTTCAGAGACAGAGAAGAGCACAGAGCTGGAAAAGGAAGCCATTGCAGAGGCTTTGCTCACAGAGGCAGCTCTGGTATTAACCGGGCCTGGATCCCATAGCAGCATCGGAGAGCTCATGGATTCTGTGAACAGGAGAATCATAGAAACTGCTTCAAAGCCTCAGACCTTGTGCTCAGAAAATATCCTCAGGAATGACCTGGCACAGACCCTGTCCAATGTAATCCTGAAGCATTCTATTGATGAAGTTCACCAGAAAAATAAAAACACCCACCCCGACAGTGGCAGACCTGCATTAGACTCCCTACAAACCCTAATGGAAAGCACCAATCAACTGCTCCACAATGTAATATGCTTCACATTCAAGAAGATGAACCATATTGTGAGGCTCGGTGAATGTCCCACTGGCCTCTCAAAGGAGACCATCAGATGGCTGGAGACAGAACCCCTGGGCTGCCAGCCATTTGATCAGACTGTGAGTCAAGCAGAGGCAAAAGCTCCGGAGTACCCCAGTGACTATTGGCCTAGCAGTCCGCACAGCACTGCTCTTGCCATTGATGATCTGATGGATGACTTGCATCCAAAGCAAGAGAAGAGTGGAGTGAGGCCAGGCCTGCTCCAGAATCCCATGCTACCATCCGAACTGTCAGGTGGTCACCGAGTGCTGGGTTCTTCTACCACTAAAACGTCCCCCAAGGAAATGCACCTAAAAGGAATGGTAGGAGAAGATACGAAGACCCCTCAGCAGATGCCCAGGCACAAAAAGCATGAGCGTAGAGCCTCGATGGGAGCAGAAAGGGCACCAGCAGTGGGCAAAAGCAGAAGCAACTGTCAGGGAGGTGAGGATAGAGCTGATCCCGACACCCAGGAGAAGGACAGCTGTGCTGCATCTCAGAGCAACAGCATGCAAAGTAACCCGCCCTTGCTAGCAGACGATCTGGTGCCTCCTGCTCAACCCTTGCCAGGAGCAAAAGACACAGACCTCTACTGCATTGCAGACTTTGCAGAAGAATTAGCAGAGACAGTCGTCTCCATGGCAACCGAAATTGCAGCTATCTGCCTTGACAACTCCAACGGAAAACAACCCTGGTTTTGTGCATGGAAAAGAGGGAATGAGTTTCTGGTGGCACCAAACGTATCCTGCCAATCTCTGAAGAGAAAGAAGGAAAGCCAGAGCGGCGGTGGTGCCGTGAGGAAGCACAAGCCGCCGAGGCTCAGTGAGATCAAGAGGAAAACTGATGAGCACCCTGAACTGAAGGAGAAGCTCATGAACAGGGTGGTAGACGAATCCGTGAACCTTGACGATGTCCCAGATTCTGTCAGCGTTTTTGCAAATGAAGTGGCAGCCAAGATCATGACCCTCACGGAGTTCTCCATGGTGGACGGCGTGTGGCAGGCCCAGGGCTATTCCAGAAATCGCTTACTGAGTGGAGACAGGTGGAACCGGCTGAAGGCGTCCAGCTGCGAAAGCATCCCGGAGGAGGACTCCGAGGCCAGGGCCTACGTGAACAGCCTGGGCTTGATAAGCACCTTAAGCCAGCCGGTCAGCAGAGCCAGCTCGGTCTCCAAACAGTCCAGCTGTGAGAGCATCACCGACGAGTTCTCCCGGTTCATGGTGAACCAGATGGAAAGTGAAGGCAGAGGGTTTGAGCTCCTGCTGGATTACTACGCTGGCAAGAATGCCAGCAGCATTCTGAACTCCGCCATGCTGCAGGCCTGCCGGAAAAGCGACCACCTCAGTGTGAAGCCAAGCTGCCCCTCCAAGCAGTCCAGCACTGAGAGCATAACGGAGGAGTTCTACAGGTACATGCTGAGGGACATTGAAAGAGAAAGCAAAGACGGTGCCGGCTCCCGACGAAGCAGCCAGGAGTGGAGCGCTGGTTTACTGTCCCCTTCGCTACGGTCCCCACTGTGTTACAGGCAGTCGTCCATGCCGGATACCAGGTCCCCGTGCACCAGGTTAACAGTGAATGCACCGGTCAAAGCCAACTCCTTAGATGGCTTTGCCCAAAACTGCCCGCAAGAGTTCCTAAGTGTGCAGACAGTCAGTAGCGCATCCTCTTCTGGTCTCTGCAAGTCTGACTCCTGCTTGTATCGGAGAGGCGGGACCGACCAGATCACAAACATGTTGATTCATGAAACGTGGGCAAACTCCATCGAGGCCCTCATGCGAAAGAACAAAATTATCGGGAATGACCTGGAGACAGCTGATGCCGGTCCTGCTGCGGGCGGCTCTTGCTTACAAAGGGAAAAGTGTGCAAACAGCTTAGCTGCAGGCAGAAAGTCCCGGGGGCCAACTCTGCTTGCTCAGGAATCTGCTGATTTCCCAAGGAAGGACCCAGTTACTGAAAGCAAACACTCGCCAGCCTCCTCCCCAAGTGGATCTGCTCCTCCTACAGACAGAGACACTTTAGATTCTAGAAACGAAACCTCCTCGTGCAGTGAAGCTGGTCCTTTAAGCCACACCGGGTGGGCCCTTTGCCCCAGGGGAGTGCCTTTGATTCAGATAGAAACAGAGCAGAGAGAAGAGTGTGCCCGAGAACCCAAGCCTTTCCTTTCCCAAAGCAGCTCCTTACCAGAAGCAGATCATTCGAATGAGGAAAAGGTCGCAGAGGTGGCCCCAGGTGAAGACACAGCCACAAGTGTCTGCCAGAACCACAGGTGAGTAAATTGTTTTTGACTAGATAAGTCACACATCACTGGAGTCTGGATTTGCATTAGATTTATTCTTCCTCTTAGACATACAGGGGCTTTATTGATGCAAGCACTTGCCAAAATTAATTCATGATACAATAAATGACCTACCTTGATTAATACACACTTGTAATAGAAATTTGGAGTAATCTCTTTCTAATTTCCAAAACAAATTGAACTCATTTGTGTAACAGAGCAAAATAGACATTAACCTCCTAATTAAAACTACCGTCCCTTGGTTTGCTGGTTTTTAAAATTTATTCATTGTAGTTTTCAGGCAAAATAATAAGAGCAATGCCACTTACTCATTTGAAAACAATCCAATTTAAACATTCTTTAGTATTAGAAGTTGAAATTAAATATTTTATTATTATAGGTCTTTTTTCAGAAGTTTTCTTTTTCGCTTTACTGTAGAGTCTCTGTCAGCATGCTGTGTCCAACAAGTGCTGGGGTTTTTTTTATTGTGTGGTAGAACTGTGGCAGAATAGGTTCCAAGTGTCACTGGAGCTTGGGCATTTGGATAACTCTCTTCTGTAAAAGTGTCATAGACTTAAAGCATTTTGAATTTGAGGCAAGGCAATTATTTGTTTCATGCTGCTTAAAGAAATGCCCATTTCAACTTACTCTTCTGTAGAAAATTCACATGAGAACATTGTACCACCTTTATTTTTAGTCTAAAGTTAAACAAAACAGAAAATGTACTGGCTTTAGAAACAGAACTGGAGAAATAATCTTTTCAGAGATATATGGCTATTGTTTATCATTTCCAAAGGCCCTGTGATTTTTAAATATTTAACTCCAATACATAAGTTGAAGATAGCTATAAAAAAGAAGGGGGGGCAGTAGTTTTCTGAAGTCCCAGGACACTTCCCCCTCCACCTGGGAATTACGATTTATGCAATTTGGACCAGTCATGCTTGCCATTGGAGGGCAGTACAGTGTGTGTTTGGTACATGGTTCAGCTGGACGTGGGTACTTCCTCCCTAGCCACCTGCGGCTGGGATTACTACTTTCTGATTAGATGAGATCTCAGAAGAACACAAAGAGAGAAAACACGTGCTCATCAAGGCTGAAGAGCACAAAGCTAAGCTAAATGTCACAGGCCAAGCTGACCAGGAAGACAAGCTTTATGTACCAGTAATCCTCCAGCAGTAGACACCATTCCCCAAGGGCTCTGATCCAAGGACTATTCAAAATTGCAAGTTCTAAAAAGCAATCAAAAAGCTAAAGTAACATAGTAATTAACACAAAATTCTTTAGAATTACCTAAACTTGAAATGGAAGGAGAAATAAAACCCCAACAGGATTAGAATCATAGACTCCAAGAGTTTGTTCAAACTCAAGGATAATAACCAAGCTGAGATTCTCAGAGAAGGTCATCTAGTTAGAAAACATTCTCACAGCTAGCAGGGTAACAAGATTCACAGTTGTAAACTCAAATAAAATAGTCACTATCACTGACATTGAGTAAAATACATCATACAATTTTGAATTAAATGTTACTGGTGTTATACTCTTAGAAGGTATAACCTGAGAAAGTTCCTAAGAAATTTTGAAATCTGTCTGAATAAAGCTTCCAACTGACTTAGGTTTGTGCTCCATACAGTAACCAGAGCCCACAATCTTTTGAAACACCATATGGGGTTCTGACTTTGTTTTTCATGAATGAGAAAGAGATCTGGTTCTACATGCAAAACACAAAGAATAATTGCTTAATGTATTTTTCTTTGTGTGTGGTTTAAAGAATTGCTATAGAGCATGAACTCACTGAAAACCTTCAATTCTGTTGCTCAGAGCCGGCTTCCTGATTTCTCCTCACCCAGTTTCCTCAGCCATATGTAAAAGCAATAGTAATGCTAATATCGCATGAGAATTACTATAATTTTTTTAAAAAACAAAGTACACAGAGCTCTCAACCAGGCAACTTGCCTACACTTAACATTCAGTAAATGTTTACAGTTGTCCTCACTCCTGAGGAAAAATTTATATAGTGGTTTTTATTCCAGGAGAATTTTTCCCCAAGAAAAATCTGTCAGGAACAGTGAGGAGAGTAAAGACCACAGTGGGCCTGCCAAATAGCTCAGCAGATTAAAGTGCCTGCAAGCAGGGTGCCAGGTTTGATCCCCAGGCCTGCCATGCTGGCCTCACCCCCTGGGGCGCACTGAGACTGTAATTGAGACTGGATGTGGTGGCGTGCACCTGTAATCCCAGCTCTTAGGAGGCTATAAACAGGTGGATTACTACAAGTCCAATCTAGTAGTGAGACCCTGAACACTGTGCAGACTCTTCCCTAAAATATGAAAAGAAAGAAAGTAAGAAAGAAAGAAAGAAAGAAAGAAGAAGAAAGAAAGAAAGAAAGAAAGAAAGAAAGAAAGAAAGAGAGAGAATTAAGACCACAGAATTCCTAAACTTATCCAAAGGAGAAAGATAATCATAAATTAAACCATATTTTGTAAGCTCAGTCTTTATTGTAGGATTTGATTTCTCACAGCTAAATATAAAACTGAATTCCCTGTGACAGAGAAGTCCCTCTACACACTCACACAGGAGAGTAGGGCAAAAACAGGGATTTTTAATTTTGTTCAGTAGTGGGGATTTGTCATGTCCTAGAGATATTTTTAGACTAGTCACTGAGGGACATTTCCATATTGTCTTAAAATCTCCTTAGAATTGAACATATTGAAATAAAAATCATTTTCTCACTTTGTTATTTGATAAAAGAATAACAGCCTCAGAAGTTATTCCCAACCTGACATGGTGGTACACACCTGTAATCCCAGCACTCTGGAGGCTGAGGCAGAACAAGTACTGAAAATATGAAGTCGAACTGAAAATAATATAACTTAGGAAACCAATAATATTTAAAGAAAGACAACAAAATCCATCAATTGACAACATAGATTCATAATGTCACATCCAATCAAAATATTTTACTCATACAAAGAAACAGAAAAGTATCAGGCATACCCAGGCATACAATCAATAGAAAGAAATATATTCAGAAATTTCAGAGAAATCAACAAGAATTTTAAATATCTAAAAACTGTGCCAAAATATTTAAAGATATAAAAATGTGAAGCTTTACAAAAACTATAAATTTAAAAATCAAGAAAGACAATAAGCAGGATAAATTCAGAAGAAAATAATATCAAAGCCCATCATAAGTGAATTATTTAAAAAGAATGATAAAAATCTTTTTAGAGCAACCCATATAAAAGCATTACTTAAAGGGGCCAGGGAGAAAGCTCAGTAGAAGAAGTGCTTGCATGGCAAGCACAAGGGCCTGAGTTCAATCCCCAGTTCTGGGAAGGAAAAAAAAAAAAAGCATTACTTAGGGCTGGACAAATAGCTCAGTGGATTAAAGTGCCTGCATGCAGGCACTTGGGTCAGGGGTTCGATCTCTGGGCCTGCTGTGCCGGCCCCACCTCCCAGGGTGCACTGAGACAGCGATTGAGACTGGGTGTGGTGGCGTGCACCTGTAATCCCAGCCTTGGGAGGCTGTAACCAGGAGGATCACTACGAGTCTGATCTAGTAGTGAGACCCTGAACACCCTATTGACCCTTCCCTAAAATAAAAAAAAATAAAAGCATTACTTGTTAAGAAACAAATAAAAATTGTAGATTTCTAATCAGAAACAACATTAGCAAGAAAACAAATAATGTCATTTTTACTGTGCTGAAGTAAAAGATCTACCTCTTCAATTTTATCCAGTAAAAATATCCTTCAAAACTAAAGGCTGTTTAATGCCAGGCAGGTGCTGGTCTGGTGAGCTAATATATATCAGCAAAAAAATACATAAAAAGTAGAGGCTATTCATGAATAGACTCGACATTGCAATGATACGGTTTCTTCCCAGCCTGATGTACAGATTTCAGCAGTCAAAAGCTCTGTGAGGGACAAAATGCTTTTCAGATCTCAACAACCTGGAGCCCGGGAGATGGCTCAGTGGAGTAAGTGCTTCCCTGGCAAGCGCAAGGGCCTGAGTTCAATCCCTGGTTCCGCAAAAAAAAAAAAAAAAAAAAAAAAAAAAATACGGGGGGCCAGGGACATAGCTCAGTGGTGTAAGCACCTGCCTAGCAAGTGCAAGGTCCTAAGTTCAATCCCTGGTACTGCCAAAAAAAAAAATGGAAACAGATCTCAACAACCTGATTCTCAGGTTTAAACCAACGAGCAAAGGCCTCAGACTCGCCAACACAGTGTTTAACAAGAACAGAATCTGAGAGTGGCGCTGTCCAGCTTCAGTACTTACTCTAAAGTCATAATCAGGACAGTGAAGTACTGGGGAAAGAGGGTTCAAATGGATCCAGAGAATTCACCAATAACAGCCCCGTTGAAATACAGAGAACTTGGGATAGGTAATAAGACGAAGAAAACGATCTCTTCAACAGTGGTGCTGAAGCAGCTGGACATCCATCTGCAAATACAAAGAATGATAGTCTAGACACAGACCTCACACTTTCATAAAAAAATTATAACTAAAAATGGGTCACAGACTTAAGTATAAAATGCAAAAGTATAGAGCATTTGGAAGACAACAGAAAAATGGAGGTCAACTTGGGTGTGGTGATGATCTATTAGATACAAAACTAAAGGTATGATTTACAGATAAAATAACTGATAAATTAGACTTCATTAAACTGAAAATCTGCTCTGCAAAAGGCACTATCAAGACATGAGAAAACAAGCCATAGATTTGGAGAAAATATTTCTATTGCTTTTTTTTTTAAGTATTTAGTGTGGAGTCTACAAGGTCTCTCTACACAGCTCAGACTTGTAGTGATTCTCCTGTTTTCTGCCTCCCAAGTGCTGGGATTACAGGTACCCGCCACCATGTCCAGTC